AAAATTCCTTCTAGCCATTGTTGTGCTGCACTCTGGTCAGTGGGCAAGGTGCTGGCCGAGAGACAGTCCTTACTGCTGCTGTCCTCAAGAAGTCCTCCACACGCCTTCTCCAGTTTTCTCTTTCGTATTTTGTTGTGCATGAGTCTGCCCAGTCCAGAGTATAACTAAATAATGTGGGGTTTTTGTAGCAAAAATTGGATGCAGAGTTTCAGAAGAGATTGGAAAAGAATAAAATTGCTGCAGAGGAGCAGACTGCAAAGCGTCGGAAAAAGCGGTAAGCACATCAGGTCATCATGTCATTTGAGGGCGGGGCGGGGGGTGTCATAAAGTGGCTGGCTGATGAACGGGCAAGTCTTATACTCAAAGGTTCACCTGTGTGGCCAGCCATGGTGGTGTGCGCCTATAGTGCCAGCTGCTGGGCAGCTAGCGCCCACTATGGATTGTAGCCTTTCTCTGTGTGTTGATTCCCAGGGCTGGGCTGCCCAGAGGCAGTAAAGTGTAGTGTGTGCTTCTGGCTCACAGGCCACTAAAGAAATGGAGGAGGATCACTTGAGCCCAGTACTTGAAGGCCAGCCTGGGCAGCATAGCCAGATCCCTCAAAGAAATTTAAAAATTTATTCTCTGTGACCTACAGAGTGGTGGGTGTGAATGCCCTAAGGCAGAGCCTCCAGGTAGAGGATTGCCTTTTTTTCCTACCTACCCCCCTGCTTAGTACAGATTCCCCAGATATTAGAGATCCGGACTTTTGTGAGCACACAGATTACTTTGTCTCCTTCAATTCTGCCCTTTAACACTGAATTTATGAAAATGCTGTAACCAAACTTCCCCTTCAGCTTGTTCCTTAAATGAAAGTCTGACCTCTTCAAATGACTACATGGTGGTACAAGCTGTGTATGTGCTTGCAGGGTTCTAAATAAACGGTCCTTCAATTTGTAGGGAGCTGAGCAGGATTTTAAAAACAGTTCATACAACTTCACATGAAAATGTATCTCCAGTATTTCTTTTTTTCTTTTTCCTTTTTTTTTTAATATTGTTTAGTTGTCAATAGACCTTTATTTTTTTAAATTTATAAATGGTGCTGAAAATCAAATCCAGTGCCTCACACATGCTAGGTAAGCGCTCTACCACTGAGCCACAAACCCAGCTCCTTTCTCCAGTATTTCTGAGATTGCTTTAGTCACCTCAGGACTCCTTAGGATTTGATCCTGACTCATGATGAAAATAGTTTAATGTTGGAATGGCAGAACCATAAGAGATTATTCCTTTTCTTTTCTTTTTTTTTTTAAGACCTTTATTTTATTTATTTTTATGTGGTGCTGAGGATCAGACCCAGTGCTTCATACATGCTAGGCGAGTGTTCTACCACTGAGCCACAAGCCTAACCCCTATTCCTTTTCTTTCTTTATTTATTTGTTAGTACCTGGAATTGAACCTAGGGTCACTTAACCACTGAGCCTCATCCCCGGCCCTTTTTATTTTTTATTTTGAGAAGGGTCTCACTAAGTTGCTTAGGGCCTCACTAACTTGCTGAGATTAGCCTCGAACTTGTGATTCTCAGCTTCCTGGGTCACTGGGATTATTGGTCTGTGCCATTGCGCCTAGCTGAGTTTTTCCTTTATTTTGTTATTAAAGTATTTGTGTTGTAGTTTTTGTTTTGTTTTGTGTTTGAGATGGAGTCTGACTGGGACTACAGGGTCATGCCACTGTGCCCAAATGTTAACTTTTTTGTTTTTCTCATTTTTAAATTTTTTTGGTACTGGGACTTGAATTCACTTAACCACTGAACCACATCCCCAGCCCTTTTTATGTTTTATTTTGAGACAGGGTCTTGCTGAATTGGTTGCCTTACAAAGTTGCTGAGACTGGCCTTGAACTCTGATCCTCCTGCCTCAGCCTCCCAAGTCTTTGTGATTTCAAGCATGTGACACTGCACCCAGCTTCCAACAAAAAGGTTTTTAAAGAGCTATAAAAGGAGGCTGGGGCTGGGGCTCAGTGCAAGAGCACTTGCCTGGCATGTGTGAGGCACTCAGTTTGATTCTCAGCACCACATATAAATAAAGGAATAAAATAAAGATTCATCAATATTTTTAAAAATGGGGGGCTATGAATAAGTGTTTATTTTGTAAAATATACAGCAAGATAGTTAAGGAATCAGCATGTGTGTTTTTTGTTTGTAGCCAGAAGTTAAAAGAGAAGAAACTGTTGGCAAAGAAGATGAAACTTGAGCAAAAGAAACAAAAAGAGGGTGAGTGGTGTCCACTTCTCCTTGGTTGTAGCCTTTCTCTTGGTGTTGATCCCAGGCCTGAGCTGCCCAGAAGCAGAAAAGCATAGGGTGTGGGGCTGGTTGGCTGGCCACTGAGGAAGTGGCAGCTTATTTGGGTTAGGATTCATTTATTTATAAGTATCAGAAAACAAACTGGCTTAGGAAGAAAAGAAAGACCCTGGCTCTTGTTCAGTCCAGGGCAGACCTCCCTTCAGGTAGGACTGGGGCAAGAACTCAGTGGCATTACTGTTGTTTCCTCTTGGTCCTGACCTCCTGGCCTCCTACAAGCTTGTGCCTTGTGATTGTGAAGTGCCTGCAACTGCTCTCTAGGGTACATCCTGCCTCTTTATTGTCCAAGAAGAAAGGTTGAGGGACCATCCCAGTGTTCCTAGCAGAAATCTTGTGTTTCTTTGTCTCCAATTAAGTCATACTTCCAGTCAGTTAAGAATGCTTAACAGTGCTTTAACAAAGAGTAGTTTGTTTCTCTTACATGATAAGAAATCTGGTGGTAGATGTCGGTCTGGTGGGTTCAACACTCTTGCAATTCTCTTGGCCTTTGTCCTCAGTGTGTGAGATGGCTGCGTGGCTCCTGCCCATTATACCTCTGTTCAAAGCAGAAGGATAGAGAGATGGTACTTGTCTGTCTTTTTTTTTTTTTAACTAGAAAGCAAAAAGTCCCCCAGAAGGGCCTAGAGAAGTAGCTCTGTGGTAGAGTGCTTTTTCTGGCATGTACAGAAACTCTGCATTCAATCTGGTACTACAAAAAAAAAAAGTCCTCAGAAGTGTCCTGCAGAAGTCACCTTATTTATTTATTAGGTCACTTTGCCATTCCTAGCTGCCCTCATGTAAGGTGAATAGAAAATAGAATTGTCATAAATCCTTTAAACTATTCATGATCATCACTGGGAGCTGATTACTTTGCCCCCCCCCCCAGATGTTCTCTTAATAAGGAGGAGTGGGGTGGGTGCTGGGGCAGCGTCCACCATGCTTCAGTCCTGCTTGCTTCTGAACCCATCACAAAGGCCTGGGAGCCATAGGCTAAGTGAAGGAGAGATGGACCTCAGGTAGAAAGGGCCAGGGATGCTAAGGGACAAAAATGACCCCAGTTTGCCTTGTTTCTACATTGGTGTCTGTGCTGTGAGTGACTGGGTTCCTGCATAAACCACTGAGGGTGTTAGCTTGGGGGGTACAGTTGGGCTTCCTTTACAGGTGAAATACGATTGACCCCTTTTAGGACTTGCTTCCTCATGAGTTGTACTGTGTGACACGTTATGATATTTTTAAACTGTGTGACTGCTCTGCCCTCCCACAATTCCTCAAATTAACCAGCAGGTATTTTCTTAGCCCTCCAAGGAGAAGGAGTGGGCATAACAGCGGGTCTTAGTGTTCTGTTGGTGGGTTGTAGCTTGACCCTGTGTTAGGAAATAGCTCTCCTTCATGCAGGATAATTTGCCCCGCCCTCTGGGATGTGCTGTTTTTGCTGCTTATTGTCATTCTTGAGTTTCATATTTAGTGACTTCCTGAACTAATTCTGTAAAGCCTGTGTTCTTTGTTGTGTGTGATCACTGAAGTGTCTGCTTGGTTAACTCAGTGGTCAGCCGGAGAGTAAATATTTCTTTAAATGCCTTGAACCAGTATGTCTCCCAGCCTTTGCTGAGGGCTGTGTGTGTTGGAGCATGGCTTCGGCGCCCTGGCAGGGCTTTGCAGATTACCTTTGCCTCCATTTCCTGCTTGCACATAGCCCCAAGAACAGCAGAGTGAGAAATTAGGGCCTTTGTATGTCTTTCTTGGGCCTGTGCACAGCCTTGTGCATTTGTGTGGCCCTCAAGTGTCCCAGCTTCTCCTCTTAAGCTTTTTGGTCATTTCGTCTTTGCTTCAGCTGTTATCTCTGCCTCAGGGAGTCGCAGTGGTAAGTGGCTGCCACTGATTGCTTCTGACAAACACCCAGAGGAAGAAGCTCTTCACACTGAGTGAACTCTCGAGTCAGGACAGCTCAAAACAAGCCTTGCGAGAAGTTTTCTGGGAGCTGCTAGACAGGTCAAATAGGGACAGTGCTCAGGTTGGAACTTTGAGACACGTTCAACCTGGTTGGTTTATTTGTTGATTAATTGATAAATACTGGAAATTGAACCCAGGGCTACTCTACCACTGGGCCATATCCTCAGCCCTTTTTACTTTTATTTTTACTTTGAGACAGGGTCTGAGTTTCCCAGGCTAGCCCCAAACATAATCCTCCTGCCTCAGCCTCCTGAGTATCTTGGGTTACAGGTGTACACTACCCACCAAGCAAAAGGTTAATTTTTTAAAAATAATCTTTGCCAGTATTCTTGTTGCTTTTCTGGAAGAGCTGATTTTGGGAGGTGATTAGTGTGCCATTCTAGAAGTGCTCTCATCTTCTTGAATCTTAACCCACCTATGCCATTACTTTTCAAGTGTCATTCTATGTGCATGGTCGGGGGGTGTGTTAAGGATGGAAAGGCTGGAAGTCAGGCCTTGCTTGGCAAGTGCTCTGTGTCAGCAGCACCCCTGGCCCTGTTGTGTTTTTAATTCTATCCCTTTTTATAGCTGTTATGACTCTAGGGGATGTTAAGCACATACTACTGTCACGTTCTGCTTAGATCTGCTTAGAGCTTTCCATCACTTATGTTCTTTTACCCTTAGTTACATCTGCTAACATTGAAAATGTGATCAGATGATGTTACTTTTTTCAATATTTTTATTAGTTGTTGATGGACCTTTATGTATTTATTTACTTTTGGTCCTGAGAACTGAATCCAGTGCCTCACACAATCTAGGCAAGCACTCTACCTCTGAGCTCCAGCCCCAGCCCAGATGATGTTTTACTTTCAAACATATTTTAAAGACTTCAAAAGGTACTAACCAATGCATACTGTGTGCTCTTCTTCCCTGGTCCCTGATGCTCCAGGTGTCCCTCTGGTCTGTCTCCTGTGAAGGTCTTCCTTCAGTTGTTCATTAGAGCAGGTCGCTGGCTGTGTTTCCGTGGCCTTTCTTCCTGTGTTTTAAGCAGATGCGTTAGAGAATCTGATAATTCCATCTGCCGTTTGTTAGTTGCCTTTTCCCTACAAATTGAGATTCTGCTGATTCTTCATAAGCTGAGTATTTTTCTCTGTATCTTCAATGTTTTGAATAGTGTGCAGTAAGGCTTCTGAGTCTCACTGATATTTGTCCAGCAGGCAGTCAACCTCATGTGTCCAGAACTCGGGTTCTTTCCCGCCCTCTGTGGGTTGTGGTTCCTCTGACAGATCAGCTTTTGGAGTTTGCTGTGTTCTCCAGATGTGCCTTGCGTGTGCCATCCAGTGGCCACTTTGGGTTTGATTCTTTGAGTCCAATTCTTAGAGCAATTGACCTGACGATCAGGAGGGAGATAGAGAGGAAAAGCAACAGGCAACTAACTCCCTTAAAACCTGGCTCCTCTGGTTAGAAAGAAATGCTCTCCTCTGTCAGAGCTCCAATGCTCGTACACCCCTTCTCCACTGCTGCTGCCCGGGCCTACAAGATTGCCTGGTTGCCTGGGAACTAGGATCTGAAGAGAAGGGGAATGGTGCGCCCACCCCTAGGCCAGGAGTCCCTTGCTTACCTCAGCCAGACTGGCAGGATTCTTTGGAGCTTTGTCTGCGCCCGTCTCTAATTTTGGGTTCTGGGTCACCCTGAGTCCAGGCTTGAGGGATACTGGATAGAGAAAAGCAACAGCAGGAGATTCACAGCTTGCAGTGGCACTTTGTGTGTTGCTCTTCTTCCCCAGTTTGCTTATTTTTCAGAGTCTGTATTTTGTCCAGCTGCCATAGCCACACCCAGAGGGAGAGATGGAACTGAATGTGTTCCCTCCATCCCACCTAGAGCCTCTGATTGACTCATTTTTTTTTCCCCTGGGGATTGAACTCATGGGCACTTGACCACTGAGCCACATCCCCAGCCCTATTTTGTATTTTACTGAGAGACAGGGTCTCACTGAGTTGTTTGGGACCTCACTAAATTGCTGAGGCTGGCTTGAACTCTCGATCCTCCTGTCTCAGCCTCCTGGGCTGTTGGGATTATAGGCATGCACCACCACTCCCAGCTACATTGCCCATTTTTAAATTGGGCTTCTTGTTATTATTGCGTTAGTATCTATTTTCTGGATATTAATCCTTATCACATACATATATTTGCAAATATTGTCTCCCATTCTGTGGCTTTCCCTTTAACTCTGTTAATACTGACTTGTGATGCATAAAATTTGTGAGTGTTCATGAAGTCCAGTTTGTCTTATTTCTTGTTTTGTTGCCTGTGCCTTTGGCATCATTTCCAGGAAAGAACATGGTTTCTTACAGCCCCTTTCCTGATGCTTTTAGACATCAGGTGCATGCAGCTGTGTGATTTTCAGTCACTGCTCTTTAATTTGGTCCAAGACTGTGAAGAATGTTCAAGACCATACAGCTTTTGGGTAGACTTCCTCTAGAGCCCACAACAGCTATGGGTCTCCTCTACCCAGAACTTCAGGGCTTTCTCAGACAGAGATGTTTGTGCCAGGCATGGTAACACACACCTTCGGAGGCTGAAACAAGAGGATCAACACAAGTTGAGGCTAGCCTGGGCAACTTAGTGAGACCCTGTCTCAAAATAAAAAGAAGATGGGGGTGTGGCTCAGTGGTAGAGGACCTCTGAGTTCAATCCCCAGTGCCCCACCCCCTGAAAAAAGAGAGGTCTATGCACATGTCCCATCCTGGAGTCACATGATGGGCTACCTGTTCTCAAGCTGAGGCAGGCTAACCTCTTTTTATCACTGGGGCATGAAATCATTTTGGAGGTTGCAACAACCTTTTATAAATTATGGATGAATAGACTGGAAAATATTACTCTGAGTAAATGTTGTTTTCTGAAATTCTTCCCATTTCTGTGTGGGCTCTGGGCTTCAGTCAAACAAAGGCAAAAGTCATTCGTAGGGAGCATGGCCCCACTTTTATACTTAATTGGGACCATACATAGCACTTTACAAAGCAGGAAGTTTAGTACAACATGGCTGTATGTGTGCTGTATCAAATGAGCAGAGTGTTGTAGGAGTAACTACCACAGAATGGTTTGTAAGCCCTTTACATCGCCTTTTTTATTTCATTCTGTATTTTGTCCAGTTGAAATGAATAGAAATTCAGGGGGTAATCCCCAGTGGTGCCACAAGATGGTACTGAGGCGCCACTGGGTTCTCGATGGATTTGGAGGGGGCTCCACTACTCACGCTCTTTTGGCTCCTCTGAAAAGCAGTGATGGTCAGTGACGAGGAGTTCTCTTCTATTGTTGGAGAGAAGCTCTCCCTGCTTGTTTTCTGTGCCCATCCAGTAATTCAGCAAATACACCTGCTGTGTGAGACTCACGTCTAAATGACACCACTGGGTGACATTAAGCCGGTTTAGATTATTCTGAAGCCTTGAACTCCCAAAGTGGACCATTGTAATACCAGCGTTCCTTATCCTAACGAAGGCCTGTCTGCCAGGGAAATCCAGGGTAGCCTTAAGGGGAATTGAGTAGGCACACTCGGGGCATTTCTCAGCATCGGCACTGTGGGTATCTGGGGCAGAATTACTCTTCTTTGGGAGGGGCTCTGTTCTGTTCATGACAGGATGGTGTTTTTGTTTTTTTAAATTTTTTAAGTTGTAGATGGACACAATATCTTTAATTTATTTATTTATTTTTACATGGTGCTAAGGATCGAACCCAGTGCCTCCCACATTCTAGGCAGGTGCTCTACCACTGAGCTGCAACCCCAGCCCTGGTTTGGTTTTTGAGACAGAGGTCTCTGTGTTGCCCAGGCTGGGCTCCGGCTCCTGAGCTCAAGCAGTCCTCCTGCCCCAGCCTCCCAGGTTGCTGGGACTGCTGGCCGGCACACCACACCTGGCCTCAGTCTGCTTTAGTCTCTCTCGGAGTACATGTTTATATGTAATTGCAACATTTTTTCATTTGCTTATTTTATTTAATACTGTATTCCTTCATAATTTTTTCAGTGACTGGTGATATCCGGTAGTTGACGTGCTGTAGCAACCCTTCTCTTTTTATTAGACATTAGATTGATTCATTTTTGTTTTCTGTAGAAGACACTTAAAGTCAAGAGCATGTGCCTGTCTCCTTGCTTCTTTTGGGAGGCATAAATTAACATAAATTCCCAACAGTAGTGATTACTAGCTCAAAGCATAAAAAGAACTCGTGGCTCTTGAAATCTGTTGCCAGCTACTTTCCAAAGGAGAGTTTTTATGGCCATGAACCATGTGCAGCAGTGAGTACTTTTGCCCTGTCCTTGCTGGGACTGGCTTTTAGAAACTCTTCTTCTTCTTTGTGGACAAGAGCCATATATATGAGAGGAAATCAAATTCTCATTGAGGATTTGTTAAAATTATTTTTAAAATATAGGTAGAGGGTTAAGGGTATAGCTCAGTGGTGGAGTGCTTGCCTAGCAGGCCCCAGGTCCTAGGTTTGATTGCCAGTACTGAAAAAATATGCAGTGTGCACATACGTACGCACGTACTCATCTATACATAGAAGCCGTGCTGTCTCCATTCTCCGCACCGCCCCCACCTCTGTACAGCTCCAAAGGTCTCCTATAAAACAGGTTGGACTGTCAACTTGTTCTGCTTATGAAACGTTTATTGAACATTTGTTACATATTTGTGGTTCTAAGTACTTTGCACATGTTAACTGGCTTGGTCCTCACAGCCTTGTGAGGTGTTCAGTGGTTACCTGAATTTTGCAGTCACCTAGTGATAATGGTGGCACCTGCAGAGCTACAGTGGGGATGGGCATTGGGCTAGGATTTGATCCCAGGTGTCCGTACTTTCCCATGAGGTAACCCAGCTTGAAACTCAGCATCCCCGTCACGGTCAGGCCCCTTCTTGTCTCTCCACTACTTTGCCTTCTGCAGGCCTCTGCCCTGCCGAGCCTACTCCTCTCCCTCAGCCTTGCTGCATGTGGCTACTGGGCATGATCCTTTTCACACTCTCTGACTTCCGTGTGTCTGACTTCCATGTGTCTGGAGAAGTGCTCATCCTTCTTCGCCTTTCTGTGTACCCCTCCCTCAGGGATGCCGTGGGGCTCTGATATCCACCTTGCCCACCTCCACGGGGTTGGCACACACTGGGTTACAGACCCACTGAGCACACGGCTTGCTTATCCACTAGCCACCATCGCTCATCTCAGGTCCTGCTCTTTTTTTTTTTTTTTTGTTGCAGATGGACACAGTCACTTCATTTATTTTTATATGGTGCTGAGGATCAAACCCAGTGCTAAGCAAGCGCTCTCTCGGGTCCTGCTTTTTCTTAAGTAGTTTTTTTCTTTCAGAATCGCTTTGATAATGTAGGACAATGGCAAGGATAACATGGGGTTCTCACACGCCCAGTTTCCCCCACTGTTTTAACGACTCATTAACGGGGTATGCTTGTCAGCATCTGAACCAGTGTGATGATTGTAGTAGCCATAGCCAAGGCCCTACTCTGATTTCCTTCGTTTTTAACCTGAAGCCCTCTTCCTGTTCCAGAATCCAGCCTGGACTCCACACCACGTCTAATCACCATATGTCCTTAGGCTCCGTTGGCTGTGATAGTTTCTCAGACTTCTTTTGGGTCAGGACTGTAAAATGTCTGTCAGTCAGGACTTGCCAGTGTTCTCCTCATGGCTGTGGAAACGCTGTGTAGTCGGGAGGAAGAACAGAGGTCAGGTGCCTTTGTAACAGGGAAAGTCGCCCTGTGCAGCCCACGCTGAGGGGGAGGCCCAGCTGTGCCCTCCTCTGTGATGGCAGGGTCTCTGCAGGCCGTTTCTGCACATGGTGGGGGGTCCTTTCTCCTCCTTTTACATCAGGGTGGTCTTGTGGGTGTTGATTTATACTTCAGGTTATGATCCAGCACTGCATTATTTATCTCATTCACAAATGGTTCCAGCTTTGGCCGTTGGGAGTGCTTTCACTTGGCCTCTGTCCCTTTACAGATCCCATTGCTGTGGGCTCTCCCCACTCCTCTCCAGCTCTCCCGTCCTTTCTTGCAGACACCTGTCAGGCATGTGGCCTGCCTCACTCAGAGTCAGCCACTTTCCTAGAAGTCCTGGCTCCTTTTGCTGCAGGAATGGTATGAGAAATTGAGATCTGGGGCAACTCTGGAGGCAGAGGCAAGAGGATCCCAAGTTCAAGGCCAACCTGGGCCACCTAGCAAGACCTTTTTCAAAATTAAATTTAAGGGGCTGGGGTGGTGGCTCAGTGGTAGAGTACTTACCTAGCATGTGTGAGGCATAGGGTTCCATTCTTGGCACCACATATAAATAAAAATAACATTCTTATCAACAACTAAAAAAGTCCTGTGGCTAGTTGTAGCTGGACACAATACTTTTTATTTATTTATTTGTATGTGGTGCTGAGGATGGAACCCAGGGCCTCGGATGTGCCAGGCGAGCGCTCTACCACTGAGCCACAACCCCAGCCCCGTAACATACATCTTTTAACAAATTAAGTTTAAGGGCTGGGGTTATGGCTCAGTGGTAGAGCGCTCGCCCCACATGTACAAGGCCCTGGGTTCAAATAAAATAAAAAAAGTTATTGTGTACAACTATAAAAAAAATAAAAATATTTTAAAAAATTAAATTTAAAAAGGGCTGGAGATGTAGCTCATTGGGCAAGTACTTGCCTAATGTAAACAAGGCTCTGGATCTGATCCCCAGCAGCTCCTTGGAGGAGGAGGAGGGTCTGGAAACAAGTTGTCTCTGTACTGTGCTTTCAACCAGCTCAGCCACACTGTGCTCCTGGCAGCCGTGACAGGGAAAGCACTGGAAGCTTAGGAACTACTCATGGGGCGTCCGCAGAGGCCTCTGGGCCCTTGTTTGGGAAGAGGCGGGAGCTGGCATGTTAGTTGTAGGCAGAGCCTTCTGCTGTAGTTTTGAAAATCCTTTTGCTGCCTGCAGTAGATCTTGAGCCCTCTGCAGGGATGTGAGACCAGCGTTGAATGTTTAAGGCGCATGGGGTCATTCCCCTTCTGTGGGTGATAGGCACTGGTAGTAACGAGCTATACCAAAGCTTGTTTTGTGGGGTGTCGGGTTTCCTTATGTGCTGCTGGACCTCTTGGTGAGGATGCCCCATCCCCTAAGGTCACTTATGCAATGACCCTTGCTTTGGTATGGGGCATTGGTGAGTATGGCTGGCTGTCCAGGATCAAAGAGTTCCTGAAGTCCCCTCTGTTCCCCTCCTTTTTTAAAAACACTCCTGACTCTCCAAGTGGCTCTGCACGTCTGTAATCTGAATGTCATATGGTTACAGGACCCAGTCAGTCCCAGGAGCAGCAGTCCAGTAGCTCTGAGGAGGCATCTGGAACAGAGGAGGAGGAAGACGAACCCAGCTTCATCATGAGGCGATGAGGTGCTTGCACAGCAGCCATTGGGCGCCTGGTCATTCTGTGACAGGGGCCCCAAATCCTCATTGTGACCAGAAGAAAAGAGCCTGCTTGGCTCAGCTGCCCAGGACTCGCTGCGTAGGGAGCACGTGGGAGCTGCTTGCAGTCTTGTTGGCAGGACTCTGCCTGGGGGACAAGGGATCGTGTCCTGGAGGGCACTGCCTCGATCCTCCTTCCATGCTCCTGCTTTAGGGAAAGGCCTCATCGCTGACCGCTGGCTGCTGTTCTCTGGGATTTAAATGGCAGTGAGCTTGGGGCTGGTTTCTGTTAAGGGAATATTTATTTAGTAAAAAACAAACAAACAAAAAACAGAAAACCTCTAGGCGCTGTTCACATACACGGAACGTTGATCACAGAGCTGTGGAAAGGCTGTGAGGTGACACAGAGGCGGGGCCTGGAAGGCCAGCAGTCCTGTTTACTGGTCAGCTCCCTACCCCTGCACAGCCTACAGCCCTGCTCTGGTACCTGCGCAGTCACTGGTCCCTGATCCTGTTCTTCCTCTGAGGATGCAGAGCAAGCTGCACAAGAGCCACAGCTCAGCAGCTCCCAGAACCAGGGGAGGTGTGGGAGGGACTTCAGGGGCTGGGCCACAGGAACAGGCCCTGCTGGCTGGGGTGCTGTTGGGAACAGTGGAAACCAGAGGATTAGCAGTGGGAGAATCCAGGCCCTGTAAGGGGTCTGAGCCGGGCCAAAGCTGCATTTCTATCCTCATGTCACCAGGAATCTAAACAGAAAGGGGACTGAAGTATCCAGGCAGCTGGTTGGAACTTTACTCCAGATCACAGGAGCCAGAGACAGAGAGGAGGCCAGCCCTCCCGCTGTGTCCTCAGGTGGATACAGTCCAGGCCCTGTGTGCACACTGGCCCAGGGACAAGCAGTGCAGGGTGCTGTGCTGGAGCAGGGAGCTTGGGAGGTGATCAGAGTTAGCTCTGACCTCAGTGTCTGACCCAGTGCCTTTGACCTGGGTGCCTTGAGGCCAGTTAGGGCAACAGAGACAGTTTGTGTTGAGAGTCTGTGCTCCGTTTTTGGATCATTTCCAGCTCCTACACATGTATGTGCCTTTTATGGACTTGAGTAGCTGTAAGGAAAAAGTGGTTTGAGTGAAGGGAAACAGAAGGTTTTACTTCTTTCACACAGAGTTCCCTGGCCCCACTGAGAGCCATGGGACATCACTGATAACTTCTGTCCCAGGAGTTTCTCTTTCCCAAGAAGCAGAAATGAAGAGTCCGTCCTAATAAATTAACACATACCCTGGCTATGTATTTGGAAGCCTGCATTTCTCATGCTGGGGACTGGCCAGTTGGTTTTGTGGGGGGGGTTTGTTTTGTTGTTTGTATGTTTTGATTGAACAGAAGGGTACTTTACTATGGAGCTAGATCCCCAGACCTTTTTTTATTTTGAGAAAGGATCTTGCTAAATTGACCAGTTGGCCTCCTACCTCAGCGTCACAAGTCGCTGGGATTGTCCGGAGGAGCCTGCCTCCGTATTTCCCTGAGGAGCAGGGGTTCAGGGTTCACTCTGTAGTATTGTCGTATGTGTCTGTAGGCAGAGAGTGTGTGTGAGCAACCTGGAGTGACAGGGACAGTTTTCCTGAAGCAGGGAACTACACGTTGTCGCTCCTTGCCATAACACTGTGTGGATACAGGACCACAGGTGTCAGCCGCGGCCAGCCCTGACTGCCCTCAGATGGCCCCTTTATACCCCAGACCTCCACTGCTCCCCATCCCTCATGTTAACTGTCAGAGCAGGAAGAAAGGAGGCATTCGGGTCACCCTGACACTGCCCCCAGCTCACAGCGTCATCTGCCACAGCTCAGATGGTCTCACCTGTCTCCTGAATCTCCTCCCTGAGCCAGCACACAGCCCGGTCTCCATCTGTCCTCCCCACCTCAGTCCAGCTCCACGTTCTCTGTTTGCTTCCACCGCTTCCCGCATCCCACTCCATGGTCTCACTGATGAGACAGCCCTCACCAGGTAGCCCTTGGTGGCCTTTGTAGACTCACTCGGCATTCCTGGCGGGGCCTTGCTGGCTGGCTTCCTGCCTTTGCTTGCCTCTCAGCTCACCCTGCAGTGCTGGGGCGACCCAGTGTGCTCCTGTGTCCTGTCCAAGAGGTCTTGTCTGGCTTTAGACACCGTCCTTGCTGGAACCTTGTGAGGGTGTGAGCTTCCTCCCCTCAGAGCCCCGAACTCGGGTCCCACTGCCTATCGAGGGCTCCTCTTCATGTCCAATGGGAGCCTCTAGCTGGTATGAGAAGAATGAGAATTTCAGCCTATTCCCCCACCCATTTCCCCATTGTGGTGAGCTGTGCCACCATCGATACCAGTACTTGAGCCCCTCATCTGAGGATCAGGGTCATCTTTGGTTCCTGTTTTCTTACCCCCCACCATCATCCATCAGAAGGTTCTGGACTTGCTCACTCTCTGGTCTCTCTCATTCCGCACACTCCACAAACACCAGCATCTTTTGGCCACTTCTGCTTATTCTCTACCCCCAATCCATCCTCCACATAGTAGCCAGAGTCTCTTTAAAAACTCACCAGATCTTCCCACCCCGCTGTGTTAGGGCCCCTGGCTTCCCTCACTGGGGATGAACAGGAGCTGCCAGGCTCTGCCGTAAGACTCTGCCTCCGCCTTCTCATCCCTGGCCATCTCCCCGGCTCTGGGCCAACCTTGAGTGCCCTGCACTTGCCCTGCTGTGTCCTCTTAGTGGGGCCTCAGCCACATCCCTTGGAGAGGCCTTTCTCACCACCGCCTGTTTCTCCAGCACAACACCTGTCATTATTTTCTGCCCTGCCACACCTTCAGCTCCAAAAGGACAAGGCCCTTTGCTCATTCTGGTTTTTGTTGCATTCCCTAGTGCCAGCACAGTGCTTGGGACATCACAGGTGCTCAGTAAATGACCTTTAAATGATTGAGCAGAGCCAGGCACTGGAAGCAGAGAAGTTCTTCAAACCCAACAAACTGCAGATACAGCAGGAAAACGTTTAGACACCAGTCAGTGGTTGGTTAAAAGGGATTGTCCCATGCATGCAGCACCTGGGAGGGACCTGCTTAGAAATCCAGATACCAGGGTGACGTCCCCCAGAGATCTGATTCATTACATTTCAGGCCCAAAATATACATTTTAAGTGTGAGATCCAGGAAGGCTGGCTTGGAGCACCTTAGCTACCATTACTGCTTTAAATTCACTTTTCTGTTTTTAACATTTATCTTTTGGAAAAAATGTGAAATTGAGTTAGAGAAGTGATGTTCTACTGACCTTTTGAAACTCAGTCCAGCTCCTAAGGCCACACAGAAGGCGGAGAAACTGCATATCTGGTAATCGTGGAAACAGGCGTGTTCCCCCTTCTCCCCTTTGGAAGTTAATTTCTGTTTACTCTTTGACATACTTGATGAAAGTGAGCTACGATTATCATATATTAGCATGTATTTCCATAAAGAGCAATCTTAGAAATTAACCTGGAACAAGTCCAAAGAAGCTGTTTCTTGTTCCAGGAAATGTAGCAAATGTTTACTGAATGCAAAGTGCTCAACCCAAATGATCCCAGGGTCATTGCTAGGCACTGGATATGGTGAAGGTGAGTTTCCCTTCAAGCAGTCCAACACTTTGATCAGGAACAGGACCTGAGCACAACAGTGCAGAGTGCTGTGCAGGCCTCTGACCCTGCTTTCAGGAGGCAACCTGTCATTTTGTGTTGCAGGGAATAACTGGAAGGGAACAGGTGGGAGCCACCAGTGGCCTTAACAGAGGCAACTTCCAGCAGGAGAATTCAGGGAGAGGAGGAGGCCAGGATGATACCAGGTTGACCATGTCACCAAAGGGGGATGAAGGAATATCCCCTGGGGACATGTGGCCCAGGAGGTGGACAGGTGTGTGAGGGAAAAATGACAAAATGTAGCTGTGGGCATGGTGACGTCGAGGGTCCCTGGGATGTGCACTGCAGAGATGACTCCCAGGCTTAGGAGATCCGACCTAAGAGGATAGCTTGGAGTCTCGGGTTGCACCTGGTCCCTGGGCCAATAGAAAAGGGGGAGATGTTAAAGAGGGTGAGAAAGAGATGGGAGATGGCTGGAGGGATTGAGCAGTGGAGGAAAGGAATGGGTCTCAGCAAGGTCAGGGGAGAGCCATGGTGGGATATGAAGGGAATAAGAAAAATTAGAAAGTGTTTACTGAACACAAAGTGCTAAACCCAAATGATTCCAGGGTCATTACTAGGCACTTGGAGTGGGCTTTCTCCTCTTCGTGTCCAATGGAAGCTAAGTGAGTGTAATGGTTTGTCCTCCCAATTCATTCAGGAACTTAATCCCCACAAAGTTTTATGATAATAGTATTAAGAAGCTAAAAACAATCCAACTGAGTTTAAAGGTGGGCCTTTGGGAAAGAGATTAGATTTGAGGGCCCTGTGATTGAATCCCACTGACTTTGAGAGGGAGAAAGACCACACAGAGATACCCACATGCCCACTGTGATCTAATGCAGTCCCAGGGGTCTTCCCCAGAGCCTGGGCCACTGCATTTGGACCTCATACCTTCAGAACTGTGAGTCAAAATAAACCTCATCTTTATAAAGTAGCCTGCCTCTGGTATTTCATTATAGTAATGGAAAACTGACGTAAAACAGTGGAATGTTTGAAATTTTACAGAGGAGCTGCCATGGGTGATGGCAAGGGCTAGGCCATAAGAGTGAATAGTCAAGGGGACAGAAGCAAGGTACCAGGGATCTGGAAACATTAGCTGTGCCAACTGTTGATCCATCCTAAAGGGAAAACAAAGACCTTAGTGCCACTGAGTGTGTATGGCCTCAAACTGGACTGTTTCCAAGCAGGATAGCTAAGGCCCTAGGAGAGATGGGACTTGTCCTGATCACCATCTAGGAAAGTGGCACAAACTGGCCAACATCCTGGCCATCAGCACTTGTGAGCCTTCACCTGAACCTCCCACTCAGCCCCCTTGTGCCAGAGGACACCTCTGACTAGCACTTTTGTGACTTAAATCTGCTTTCAGTAGTGTCTTCACGTGTCCTCCCTCCATCTTCTAAGGGAGAGAAGAGCGCCTTTCATTTGGTTAGGACCTGGGCCCTGAGAGCTGTGGTGCTGCTTCTGTCTGGACATGCTGGATTGTGCTTGGGGTTGGAGGCGTCACCACCTGGCACTGGAAGCTCTAGAGGACAGCACTTCAGGCTTCCTGAGTAAGACTGAGCACTCATGCTGCCCCTGCAGAGGAATTTTCATCTATGATGCAACTACTATAGTTTACAGAATGTTTTCTTCCTCTTTTTAAGTTCATTTATCAAGAACTTGAGGTTGAGGTTTGAAAGACACAGCACCATAGCTTTATGAGGACTCTGCTCTCTGAAATTAAAATGCCCTCTTTCCTATAGCTAAGGGGCAGGGGCAGTAATCAGACCCTGGGATTTTCTTATGTCATTTTTAGGGCCTAACATCCCTGTTGAGTCAGTAACCAGCTGGAGGAAACTGGTTTAGTCTGTTTTTAAGTGTCCTGGATAAAAAGGTAACATTCCTGGACCCTGAAGTGTAAAGGGATTTAGCCTGGCATTTGCAACGTTTATACTCTCGCAATTGCCGGAAAACCTGGACTGGGTGACAGGAGTGGAATTTTTCTTTCGTTTGGATAAATGTGTCACGGTCGAATGCTGTTGTGACAGATGGAAAAATCCTATGTAGGGCACGCAGCAGCCTACCAGGCACGAAGGAAGGACCCTTAGGGGCCGTCTGGCACCGGCGGGTTGATATGAACCCATCCTGCCTCTCTGTGAATTATTCATGTTGTGCACTTCCTGAAAAGAACGTTCCTGTTTGAATATCTCGGTCGTAAAACCGCAGCGCTCACCCAAGGGTGAGAGGTTCGCAGCAGAGCGCCCGAAGGGGCGGGAGGCAGCGCGGCAGCCCTTTGGTGCGGTCTGTGAGCTCTCCGCGCAGCTCCCGGGGGGCCGAGGTTGCTGTGCCGGGTTAGGCGCCGGCAGGTCTCCCTGAGAGTGGGCTGTGTGACCCCGGCGACCCAGACCGGCTCGGTGCGGGCTCCGCGTGGTGCCCACACACACCCTGGGCAAACTCGGGCGTGGCCTGGCCCTTCCACCCTTTGCCCCACCCCACCCTCCCCGGGCAAGGGCGATGCTGGGCATCCTCGGAGGCTGTGAACCCAGGTGCTTCTCGTCAGTGCTCTGGCTCACCCTCCACCGGCCGGCCCTGCCGGACCTTGCCGTTTGATCCAGGGCCAGAGAAAGTCCAGCTCGTGAGTAGGTGGCCCGGGTGGGGCCCCGTCCTCTGGCTCGCCTCGCTGCCGGCCAGTCATCCTGCACCCAGCGGAGGCAGGAGAGGTGACCCCGGCTCGCAGCCCCACGGTGGTCCCGGCGGGGGAGGAGACCCCGGAGCTCCCGCCCCCCCATCCGACGGGTCACGTGCCCCAGCTCCCCGTGGGCCGGTCACGTGACGGCGGCGCGCCGTTGCCTTGGCAGCGGCTGCGGCGGCCGGCGGGGGCGGGGCGGCCGTCGGAGGCGGGGCCGGGGGACCCCGCTCTCCGGGCGGAAGGAGGGAGGGGGCCGCGCTCCGCGCCCGGCCGGGCCACGCCACTGGGCCACTCCACCGCTGCCTGCCGCGAGCCCGGAGCGGCGCCGGGGCGGCGGGCAGGGCAGCTCCGGTGAGTGTCGGCGCGGGCGCACCCCCTGCTCCCCCGACATCCGGGCGGGGGGCGCGGGGTGCTTCCCGCCCCTCTGGGGTGCCGAATCGGACCGGGGACACTGGACGGAGAAGGGACTGGCCCTGAGGAGGCTTGGGACGGAGCGGAAAGAGGATGGCCGTGGGGGTGGGGGCGGCCAGGTGGCCAGTCCCGCGGGATTCCGAGCATGGTGAGGTGCCCAGAGGATTCGGAAGTTGCGGGCACCGGCCGAATCCGGGGCTTCGCGAGGGGAAGGGACAGGAGATGCAGATGGACGCTTGTGGGAGCTGCAGGGTCCCCTCCCCGCACCCTTGTGTGACAGCGACATTTCCCGTGCCCCAGATGTTCAGAGGAAGTCAAGGCAGACAAACTCTAAACCCGGCCCCTGAGAACGATTCTGACCAGCCCGCCTAGGGGAATCGCTGCTTCTTTCTCCAGACCTCTTTTCTCAAACCGCTCCTGATAAAAACAACCAAGAAACCCCAAAAGATTTAGCCAGGAGAGCATCCTTGGGAGCTTGGGCGTCTGACAGAAATGTCGGCTCCATCTTGGCCCCCCCCTTACCTCCTCCCTGAGCCTGGAGCTGGGGACCAGACTCTGGGCCACCCCTTGGGGCACAGACTGTCACCCCGTAGGTCTTGGCTGGGAGGGTGAGGGGTGGATTTGAATCCTATCCTGGCTGGTACCTCTGGAGGAAGTAGCTTCCTATCTTGGGGATCTAGCTCCAGGCAGGCAGGCAGCCCTTCCTGCCCAGCCCCCACTCCCCACAAACACACACACTCTGGGGACATCTGCAGCAGAGTTCAGCCTCTCCCTAGAGGCTGTCCTCAGCCTTCACTTCTCTGAGGCTGTAATCTCCACTCTGACTGGAGCCCAGCTGCCATTCACTGGTGGCCCCTAGGCTTCCCTCTGCTGTACCCCAATGTCCCTTCCTGGGGGCACCAGGCTCCCAGTCTTTTCAGTCCACCCACTATTTCACTGAGTGAATGTGGTTCCAATACAGATGGACTCAGCAGGGCCTAAAGGTGCCCATCACCAGTCTCTCCATCCCCCAGGGCCAAGCACCACCAGAGAGAACCCTGCAGTTACACTGCTGGCCACGCAGGCCCTGCCCCGTGCTGCTCTCCTGCTCCAAGTGTCTTCTCCCTACCTGCCAGGCAGCCAGCCTTTCCGCCTTGTCCCCAGACGTGTCCAAAGCTGGTCTTCCTGCCTTTCAGAACCTTCCCTGCTGCAGCATCTTATCTTTTAAGGGAGGGTCTCTCTCAGGGCCAGTTTAGTACTTGAGTCTGAGTCCCCTAATCTTGCTCTCTGGTGTTGCTCGGAGGTTAGTTCCCTGTGAACTGTCCATTGGACCATAGGCCCAGTTCTGTTCTGTGTGGGGAAAAGGAAATGTGCACTTCCACATTCTGACACTTTTCATTTATTTGGAGCTAACCCATAGATTGTTCAGTGGGCATCATTTCTTTGAATTCTCCCCAAGGGAAGGGACCTTCAAGTGATAAAGTGCTTGGATGAGTACTGCTGGCTGCAAATGAGGACAAGGTGTAACCCAGATGCCCAAGTTGGCATTCCTGTACGTGACTTGATCCCTTGGCAGATAGCAGAGCAGGGGTCTTGTTGGTTGGCCAGTAAGAAAGAGCTGTGACTTTGTGACCTGGTGGGGAACAAGGAGAAAAGCAGATCAAGGGAGACCTTTCCCCACCTCTGACATCTTCCTGTTACCCTCCTAGAGATAGACGCGGATGGATGGTTCCTTTGCTGCTGACTCTGGTCAACACCCCCAGCCCACCCCCTCCCAGGTGCCCTCCTTGGAGCTGGGAACCCCGCTGTGCTTCCAATGCCTGAGCGGGCTTTCCAGGAGGCCCAGTGGATCTGATTGCAAAAGTTACTAAGGCCAAGCAAGGTGCCTGTGTCCTTGAAGCAAGCCCCAGAGATTAATTAGAGCCAGATCCCAGGCTGCTCAGGCTGCCCCCGGAGCCCCTGGAGACCCTCCAGTCCCCTATTTAGATTAGCAGGGACTTGGGTTAAATTCACAGATCTCAACAAATCAGTCCTTCTGATGTTTGGATCACATTTCAAGCCCCATGTCTAGGAGGGTGACCGCAAGGGTCTCCAGTCTCCATTCCTCCTTAAAAGTTGCTCATGTCATTTGAGGGCTTTGATTTTTCATTTGGCCACAGGTTCCTATTGCAGCCAGGATGGCTTCTTTAAGTTATATAAACTAAAGATTGGCTTTTGGGGTGAACTGTGCTGATTAGAATTTAGGTGGAAGCGTTTGTTCCATGGGTGGCGCTTGGTCATGGAATGCAGCTTTGAATCTTGAGGGGCATTGTCTTCAAGGGTCCTGGAGATGGGAGTAACCCCAGTTTTTGTTTTGAATTCAGGGCCTCACCCATAGCAGGCAAGTGCTCTACCACTGAGTCGCACCCCAGACCAAGGTCCCCAATTCTGAAGATGAAGGCTTGAGGTTCTCAGGTCAGGCGTGGCTTAGGATCTCGCAGCAGAGTCAGATTCCTGTTTCTTTTTTTTCTTTCTTTCTTTTTTATTTGGTAATGGGGATTGAACCCAGGGGCACTTGGCCACTGAGCCCCATCCCCAGCCCTATTTTGTATTTTATTTAAAGACAGGGTCTCACTGAGTTGTTTAGCGCCCTACCATTGCTGAGGCTGGCTTTAAACTTGGAATCCTCCTGCCTCAGCCTCCCAGGCTGCTGGGATTACAGGCGTGAGGTACCATGCCCAGCCAGGTCCTATTTCTTTAGGGCTTAGACTTTTTTTCTTCTCCCATGGTGTTGCTGGGGCTGGAACCCAGACCTCCTCCACTGAGCTCACTTACGACCCCCTCGGCTTTCTCTGAACACACAGTAGCCTGTTCCTGGCATATGGCACACATGAGGGGATTCAGTGGCAGCCTTCAAGTTCCACTCACCCACGGCCACACTGAGTCGGAGCCTCTCTGAGCGCCGAGAGGGTGGTGCCTTTTAGCTGTGCAGGTGGTGGTGGGTGGTGAGCCCCCGACCCTCCTCTTCTGCAGCTGGCTCTCACATTGTGGCATGAGGACCACCTCAGAGACCAGGACCCCACATCCACTCTACCTTGGGCCCTGTACAGCTCTGCAGGCCCTGGGAGGGTCAAACAGACTTGGGAATCTGGCTGTTCTTTCCTGTGTGTGTTTTTTGCAGTACTAGGGAGTCCTGGGGGTGCTCTACCACCGAGCTACACCCCAGCCCTTTTTATTTTTCATTTTGATTCAAGGTCTTGCTACATTGCTTAGGGTCTTGCTAAGTTGCCCAGGCTGATCTTAAACTTGTGATCCTCCTGCCTCAGCCTCCCTAGTGGCTGGGATTATAGGCGTGTGCCATCACTCCCAGCACAAGTATGACTTTTCAAGGCTCCAGAACTATCTGGGGCACCTGATATTGTCCCTGTCTTACCCGCAGCCTGGCCCCCACCATGAGTGCCGAGCTCAACGTCCCTGTGGACCCCTCCACCCCGGCCTGCCCTGAGCCCGGCCACAAGGGCATGGATTACCGCGACTGGGTCCGCCGCAGCTACCTGGAACTGGTCACCTCCAACCACCACTCAGTGCAGGCCCTGTCCTGGAGGAAGCTCTACCTGAGCAGGGCCAAGCTGAAGGCCTCCAGCAGGACCTCGGCCCTCCTCTCGGGCTTCGCCATGGTGAGTACAACGAGGCGGGGGCCCTCCTCGGAGAGCACTGTGTTGCTCCTCCCCACAGCCAGGGTGCACCAGGGAGTCTGTCCAACCCGCTCCTCCCAGAGCACTGTGCTGTTCATGCAGGGTTGCTGGGACTGGGGAGCCCCAAGCCTGGAAGGTAGTGGGGGGTGGAAACCGCTCCATGGACAGGGCTTCTGGGAAAGGCACCCTGCAGCCCTTCCTTGGAGCCACCCAGGAGCTGGGACACCTGCAGGACTTGAGCAGGACTCAGGATCGGTTGGGGTTAGGCTGGTTGGGGAGGTAGACGCTGGCCAAGTGTGGCCTCCTCGGGTGGTGCAGAAGTTCTGGCTTGCTTCCCCGCCACTTTCCCTCTGAGTCATCCCAGGACAGGAGTCAGTCTTGGCAAAGCCACGCCTGCTGTTGATTCCACTCCCTGTCCCACTGGATTGTCCCAGAGGGTGAGGATGGCAGGGCTCAGCCCTCACTGCTGTGTGCTGAGGTGCATTTGGGCTGGAAATGATTGATTTCTTTTTGTAACAATCGTTTTTCTATAACCCACGGATGTTAAATTGACAGTGCAATTTAAAATAAAAAGCCGAGGGGGCGTGGTGGGACACACCTGTGATCCCAGCAGCTCAGATCAGAGGCTGAGGCGGGAGGATCACCAGTTCGAGGCCAGCCTCAGTAAAAGGGCTGCGGTGTGGCTCAGCGGGTAAGCACCCCTGGGCTCAACCCCCAGTAGGAAACAAAACAAAAAGCAAGGAGCAAAAAGCGGGCAGAGCGAGCCTCCTCAGTCCCCCGGGTCTCCTCCTAGTCAGAGAAGGCTGGAGGCCCGGAGGGCGGGATCTCATGGGATCTCACGGGGCTGCAGAGGTCGCCCAGCTCAGAGGCAGCACATTGGAAGGCAGCACATTTGTGTTTAGGTCTGTGGTTGAGAGAAAGGCTTATTTAAAGGTCCTGTGTTTTATTTTTATAACATGATTACAGAAGTGTGTAATCAGGTGGTGCACAACTTTGGCTTTTACTGATTTTCTTCCTGTGGTTTTCATCTTGTTAAAAAAAGAGTGTTTTCTCAAGTTTGATTTAAAGGAATGCTTGTGAGAAGTTGTTGTTTGGGTTTTTGGTGGTGCTGGCCATTGAACCCAGGGCACTTGACTTGTGCTACACCCCCAGCCCTTTTTATTTTTTTACTTTGAGACAGAGTCTTGCTAAGTTGCTGAGGCTGGCCTTGGCCTTGCAATCCTCCTGTCTCAGCCTTCCAAGCCACTGGGGTTACCGGGTGGCCCGTCACTGCACAGTGTTGAACACTTACCCACTTGAAGACTTCACAGCCTTTTGAGATTTGAAAACAAACCCTGCAAGTGAAGTTTTATGAGTGAATTCTGGAGAAGAGGAGGTGTTTTCAGACTTCAGCCCTCCGGGGTGGTGAGCAGCCACTGAGAGGCAGGAGGGGGAAGCCCAAGTCACCTGCACCTCCAGGGGCGCTGTCTGTCCTCTGCCCGGCTGTGGCACTCACGCTTGCTGGTTCTAATTCATCTCTTCTCAGTGGACACAGTGTCTCCTCTTCCAGACGTTTCCCCCTGGGGAAGCTGCCACAGCCTACGGCGTGCTGCAGACTCAGCCCAAAAGCCGGTTCTGGGAAGGTGGGAAACAACTGAGGGAGGGACTAGTGCAGGTCATCAGGGAGGGACTGAGTTGGGCCAAGGACAGGGACAGGTGAGCCCCTGTCGGTATTCCCTGGTCAGAACTGCGAGGCTGGTCCTGGGCCCAGCGAGCACCAGTGCCCACCCCCAGCTGACGTCTTCACCTTTCCCCTTCCCTAACACAGAGCCTGTGACCCTGAGCCTCCGCACAAAATCTCTGAGAGACACAGTGCAGGGCTGGGGTCGTGGCTCAGCGGTAGAGCACCTGCCTCACACTGGTGAGGTACTGGGTTGGTCCTGAGCACACATAAAAATAAATAAATAAAGACACTAAACACACACACACACAACACATACACACACACACACACACAGAGTGCAGGGGCCTCTGACTTTTTCTGCTCTTGCGGCCGAGCCAGGCTGCTTCGTGTAAGCTCCATCTTCTGCCTTTTAGTCTTCTTTGTTCCCCACCCTGGGCCCTGTGGTTTGTGAGAGCCTTTCGTTGGGCCATATCCTGTGTGATAACAGGAGCCTGCCCAAGGCCACTGAAGAAAGGCGGTTCCTCAGCCTGTGTCTTTCATCAAGGCCTCAGCCATAATTGCTATAGCTGTTCAGCTGTGGTCCACTAGGACTACTCCATCTTCTTTTCCCTATCAAGTGTTCTGTCATCACTAATGGGAACATGAAGGGACGAGGGATAAGGTTCTCGCTCTGACACAGCAGTTGCCAAAGGAACTTGTGAAATCTTCCTTAGAGATTTTTTTTTTTTTAAGTTTCTTGTTTGTTTTTGTTTCTTTGGTACTGAGGATTGAATCCAGGGGTGATTTACCACTGAGCTACATCCCCAGCCCTTTTTACTTACTTATTTTTTATTTTGGAGAGAGGGTCTCACTAAATTTTGGAGTCTGGCCTCGAACTTGGGATCCTCCTGCGTCAGCCTCCCTAGCCCCTGGGATTAAAGATGTGTGCCCAGCTTTTCTTAGAGATTTTTAAAACAGGGATGGCTCTGATAGTGGGGAGAACAATGGATAGAGGGCTTTCCTCGGCCTTCTCCCTTTCTGCCTCCTCCCCTACCACCTTTCTTGACTAGTTTCTTTCTTTTGGGTGCCCGGGGAAAGTTCTTGGTGAGCCTTGGAGACCCTGGTGGGCCTGGGCTAAACCCTCCACTGGGTGGTCCGTGGGCCAGGGTGAGGTGGGAGGGCCTGTTGCAAACTCCCCCTCTGGTGTGTGGTGGGCAGGTCCAGGAATGGCTGCAGGGACCTCCAGGCGCAGAATAAGCCTGGCTTCTGGTTCCTGCTGTGGTCTTTGTCTTTCATTTAAAAATAAATTTTAGGGGTGGGGCTGAGGCTTAGTGGTAGGGGGCTTGCCAACATGTGTGAGGCCCTGGGTTTAATTCCCAGCACTGCAAAAAACAACAAAACAATTTTTTATTTAAGCAAAGTGTACTACATATAACCCATAGCACTGCAAAAATAAATAAAAGTGTGGTACATAGATATATTTTAAAAATTGTGGGGTGCAGTGGTGCTCGCATATAATCCCAGCTCTTTCAGAGGCTAAAACTGGAGGATTGAAATTTTGAGGCCAGCCTGGAAAAATTAGGAAGACCCTGTCTCAAATAAAAAATTTTAAAAGCTGGGGATGTAGCCGAGTGCTAGAGTGCCCCTCGGTGCAACACCCAGAACATGAAAAAGTAAATATTAAGTATTGCAGGGGCAGGTGTAGCTCGGAGCGGAGCAGTCACCTGGCATGCTCGAGGCCCTGGGTTCCATCCCTAGCACCGCCAAAAACAACTGGGTGCTGTGGAAAGACTTAGGGTGGAGGGGCGTGGCCCAGCAGTGGAGTGCATGCCCAGCACGCAGGAGTCTGTGGGTTCCACCCCCAGCACCACCACAGGGTAACCTCGGCTTAAAACAAAGCCCTGCACCAAGCTCCGCCACTCGCTCTTTCATCCCCCATGCTGCTCCTGCACAACTTGTCACAGCCCTTCATGATGTGTGCACCCCAGACGCTGCACACAGGGCCCTGCACCTGCAACGCCAGCACCCTGCCCACCCTGTTCCTGGTCTAGAGCACCTGCTTTTCCCTGCACTTTTTTTGGGGGGGATACCGGGGATTGAACCCAGGGGCACTCAACCACTGGGCCTCGCTTTTTTGCTGAGGCTGGTTTTGAACTCCCGATCCTCCTGCCTCAGCCTCCTGAGCTGCTGGGATTACAGGTGTGCGCCACCCACCCGGCTCTCTGTTTGGTTTTTTTTTTTTTTAATATTTATTTTTTGATTTCAGATGGACACAATATCTTTATTTTTTTTATTTTTATGTGGTTTTGAGGATTAAATCCAGTGCCCCGTGCATGCCAGGCCAGCATGCTACTGCTTGAGCCACATTCCCAGCCTTTTTTTTTTTTTTTAGTTGTAGATGGGCACAATATCTTTCTTTCTTTATTTTTATGTGGTGCTGAGCGTTGAACCCAGGGCCTCACACACCCGAGGCAAGTTCACAGCCCCAGCCCCTCTCTGCACTTTCCTTCTCAGCTGAGAGGCGCACCTGTGCTCTCTATAGGAGGTGTCCAGGTGGGCAGCTCCAAGTAGCCTCCACGTTCACTTTTCTGAGAGGTCAGTTTTTATGTGTTTAAACAGCCATTGCTCTTCAGCTAAGCCGCTCCTCGGCCTGACTCTGGTTTCAGTAGCAAAGCCACATGCTGCCAGCCTGCTCTCAGGGCAGCGTGGCCTCACCCAGCTGTGGCTTTGCACCCAGGTGCCTACTCTGTGCCCCTGTGAGGTGAGGCCCTTTCCCTGCCACCTCCACCCCTCTACATTTTCACTCTTCTGTACTTTTCAGGTTCGTGAGAACTTTTTTAGTTATAATCAGAAAAAAAGGAAAGTTTGAAATAGGTGAACAGTGAGGAGGGTGCCCTCTGGGCTCTGAGGGCTCTCTGTATGGCTGAGTCCCACGGCAGGTGAGTGTGGGTACCTGTGGCACTGCCCCCTCAGCCCACCCAGCCCAGCCCTCTGGCCCACAGGAAGCCATGTCGAGGTGTAGCCCTGCCCACCTGGCGCCACCCCCCCCACTGTGCCTCGACAGGTGGCCATGGTGGAGGTGCAGCTGGAGACGCAGTACCAGTACCCACCGCCGCTGCTCATCGCCTTCAGCGCCTGCACCACGGTGCTGGTGGCCGTGCACCTGTTCGCCCTGCTCATCAGCACCTGCATCCTGCCCAACGTGGAGGCCGTGAGCAACATCCACAACCTCAACTCCATCAGCGAATCGCCGCACGAGCGCATGCACCCCTACATTGAGCTGGCCTGGGGCTTCTCCACCGTGCTGGGCATCCTGCTCTTCCTGGCTGAGGTGGTGTTGCTCTGCTGGATCAAGTTCCTTCCCGTGGATGCCAGGCGCCAGCCTGGCCCCACGCCAGGCTCCGGGGGCCACACAGGCTGGCAGGCTGCGCTGGTGTCCACCATCATCATGGTGCCCGTGGGCCTCATCTTCGTGGTCTTCACCATCCACTTCTACCGCTCACTGGTGCGCCACAAGACAGAGCGCCACAACCGGGAGATCGAGGAGCTTCACAAGCTCAAGGTGCAACTGGACGGGCACGAGCGCAGCCTGCAGGTGGTGTGAGGGCCGCGCAGGCGCCTGGGATGACACCACCCACTGTACCAGAACGGCCGCAGCAGGGCTTCCAGAAACGCAGATGCTCGCCAGGCTGCTGGATGCGGCCAGGCAGGCCCCAACCAAAGTCTTACTCCTGTCTCGATGCCAAAATAACCCGGAAGCCTGAGCCAGCCCCTCAGAACATGGCACTGCAGTGACGCGGGAGGCTGGGTTGCCAAGAGCTGTGGGCAGAGGAAGCCCATGTGTCCCCTCATGGGCTCTGGGCAGCACAGTGAGCGGAGAGTCTCGGAGACCAGAACCTGTGGCCAGCAGGGCCAGGGTCGTGGGTTCAGAGGTGGACCTCATGACCACTTGCCAGTGCATGGCTCCCCGAGGTTGGACAGGGCTGGGCCACTGAAGGGAACAGGACTCAGCTTGGCTTGGTGCTCCCCTCCTGGCCCTGGAAGGAGTGGGGCAGCCTGGCGGGGGCGGGAAGTGGGAGCCTGGCGCATACGTTGGCCCCACAGGCGTGGGTGCTGCTGGGGTGAGGCTGCAGGGCCTAAGGGAGACTTCCCAGGCTCAGGCCCCGTTCCTGGGGCAGGTCAGTGTCTGTGGGCATCCTGCATGATACCCTGCTAAGAAGCTGAGTTCACTGGGGGCTCCAAGGCGTGCCAGGCTCAGACAGTCTTTGCCAGCAGCCTGAAGCCTGGCCACACTGATTTACTGAGGCCACCAGAAGGGGAAAGTACCCACCTGTCCAGAGGCTCCACCTCTTGACCACTAGAGGCCTGAGCCAGAGTGAGCCACTGCTTTGGGCTGCATTAGCAGCAGGCTGGGCACTGGAGCCATCCTGGCCTCCTGTGGCCCTGAATGCTGAGAGGAGATAGCCTGGGGTGTCAGCAGGGCCACTGACCCTGCTGGGCCTGTAGCAACCCAGTGTGGCCTCCTTGTTAGGACACTGTGCAGCCACAGGGATGGCAAGGGCCCCAGTACACCCCTGCTGGGCCCACCAGGTCTTGGGGACACAGATTCCCTCCCTGTTTACACACTGTGCAGTGTAGGGCTGGCGTCACCAAGGCATCTGGTAGACCCTGCCCACGCTGCTGGCGTGCCCGTCAGTACTACTGCATGAGCTCCCGTGGCACGCACAGCACCTGAGCTGCTCTGAAACCATGTTTACCCCCTTTCCAGCAGCAGCCTGGAGAGGGGCGCCTCGTCTCTCATTCTGTACATAAACGGCCACTGGCTTCGTGTTCTGTTTACCTTCCTCAACAGCTTACTGTGGGCTTTGGGCCGGGCTGTGGGTCCTGGAGGGCCTGGTGAGGTCTCTGGAAAAGAGACATGCTATTGAGAATGGAATCCTTGACACACAGTTCTGAGATGCTGAGGGGCCGTTGGGAATCTGCCCAGGGAGCCTGAACACAGTGTCCCCTGGAGGGTGCCTCCACCCCCTACAGGCATCTCTGCTCCCCTGGAGCCCTGCTGCGGAGGCCCTCGTGTTTGCTCTGCTCACGGGTGTGGGCATCACTGAAAGATGCTGCTCACGTCCTGGCAGGGGTGAAACGGGCTGGCCCTTCTGAATGAGCGCCTCCCAGACCTGGGAGGGACAGAGGGCTTTTCCTCTGGCTGGAGCCTTTTGAGGCTCCTGATGCCACTTTCCAGAACCATCTGGTACCCCTGTCCCCAGGGCACCCAGCTCCTCAGGCTGGGCCACCTGCCCCAGTGCTGGCGGGGCAGGTGCTACCCTGGTCCACAGGCAGCGTTGGCCTGGCAGCCTAGACACCAGGTGCCTGTGCCGTCCTCGCGGTGGCTGTTCAGATTTGGGGCGAACAGCCTCTGAGGGAAGAGAGATGACCCTGCGGGAGGGGAACCTCAGGGCTGCCCTGAGCTTGTCCCAAGATGGGGATAACCTGCCATTGGGAGTGGCACAGAAACCTCAGTGTGGCAGGCTGGAGGATGGGGGGACAATCAGGCTACAACTTGTTTCTGGAGGCATAACCTGATTTTGCAAAGTGTAGCCTCGGCCTGGTGACAGGCACTGCGGCCACCCCAGAGCCAGCACAGGCTTGCCCTGGTTTTGTTTAGCGTCCTTCCTGGTGCTGAGCCGAGAGCCCACAGGCATGCCAGGCCCTGTGCAGTGAGGGCCGCAGGCCCCTGGCCCATGCAAGTTGCAGGGTGTTTCTGGTGTAGAAGGGCAAAGGCTGGTGTCATTAGTATGTTCTCCGAAGGTCTGTCGAGGACAGACTGTGTGAGCCAGGTGGGTGGAGGCTCACTGCAGCCAGCGTTGGTACCACTGGTTACATATGTGTGATGCTTGTGCAGATCATGCAAGGTGGCCTGACTCTGTCCTGTGCATGGATTTTTAACGGTCACCCTGGATTGGATGGAATAAACCAGTAAAGCTGCTCCAACCTCCCTGTGTCTTGGTAGGACGCCCTGCTCCTTCCTAGCTGCTGTGCCAGGAACCCTCAGCCCGGCCTGGGAGTCCTGGAGCCCACTGGCCTTCTGCTGCCCCTGGCCAGGGTCCTGACAGGCTGCCCCACCAAGGGGCATGGAATTCCCTATAATAGATAGGCAGAGGGCTGGGACAGAGGCCTCTGCCAGTAGAGCCCCAAAAGGACCCTGCAGCTCGGCGGCCTCTGCTCTTTTCTTCCCCAAGGGGCTCTTTTTCTGGAAACAGTGGAAGGAGCTGGGTAGTTGGCTGCCAAGGGAACCCTCTGGACAGTCAGCTAAAGGTCTCCAATTCCTCCAGGAGAGGCACTACTGAAGCTCAGGTGCCTTGGGTCCCTGTGGTCCTGGGTTCATTTAGCCTAGTGGCACTGACAGAAAGGCACCCAGAAATTCTGTTTGGGAACAGTTATCCCCTGGCGTAGAGGCCCCCTTCCAGGAGAGATTCCTGTCCCTTATTAATGCTCCACCCTTCAGCCTGGAAGCTGCTGGAAGCAGGCACAGCAACCTGTGCAAGCATGTGGAGACTCTCTGGCAGCACCACATCCTGCCAACCAGAGAGCTAGGTGGCTGAGGCCCAGAGGGTGGCTCCCCAGGGCTCGGCACCGAGCCCTAGCCAGCAAGTGGGCCTTCCAGTGGACAAGTGAGCATTGACAGTGAAGGCCACCATTTCCTTCAAGGAAAAATGTTCAGAAAGATGGGACCCTTCCCTACCCGTGTGGCAAGCTGCCACCTGCTCTGTGGACCTCTTCTGTGGGGACCCCAGAAAGCCTGCATAGTGGGACCACCCAACACCCAGCAGACCCAATGAGAGACTTCTGTCCCCAACTTGGTGTTTATTTTGTTTTTTCTGGTGTTGGGGATG